GCATACTAGCAACTTAATAGTACACTGGAACAAAAAAAGGTAAACACACCCAAGAGGAATAGACAGTAGGAAATCATCAAACTGAAGACTGAAATAAAAATAAAGGAAGAAAAAATAGGAAGAAAGAGAATGATACAAAGGATCAGTGAAACAAGGAGTTTTTTCTTTGAGAAAAGATAGACAAGATAGACTAACCCTTATCCAAACTAACTAAAAGGCAGAGAAAGAATATCCAAATTAACAAAATCAGAAAAGAAAAGGGAGACATAACACTAGATACAGAGGAAATCCAAAGAATCATTAAGAAATACTTTAAAGAACCTGTATTCCACAAAATTGGAAAAAGCTAAGGGAAATGGACAATTTTCTCAATAGACACGACTTACCAAAGTTAAATCAAGATCAGATAAACAATTTAAATAGACCTATAACCCCTAAGGAAATAGAAACAATCATTAAAATCTCCCAGCCAAATAAAATAAAAGACAAGGACCAGATAGTTTTAGTGCAAAATTCTACCAGACTTTCAAAGAGGAATTAATGCCAAGCTCCTCAACTATTCCATGAAATAGAAACAGAAGGAACATTGCCAAATTCTTTTTATGAAGTCACAGTCACCCTTACACCCAAACTACACAAAGATTGAGCAAAGAGAGTTGCAAACCAATTACCTTCATGAACATTGATTACAAAAAGAGTAAAATATTCAAAAACAGAATCCAAGAACACATCAAAAAGATCATCCACCATGATCAAGTATACTTAATCCCAGACATGCAGGGATGGTTCAACATATGAAAATCTGTCAATGTAATCCACCATATAAACAAACTGAAAGAAAAAATGATCATTTCATTAGATGCTGAAAAAGCCTTTGAAAAATCCAACACCCCTTCATGATAAAAGTCTTGGAGAGATGAGGGATACAAGGAACATACGTAAACACAATAAAAGCAAGATACAGCAAACCGACAGTCAGCATCAAATTAAATGGAGAGAAACTCAAAGCAATTTCACTAAAATCAGGAACAAGACAAGGATGTCCACTATCTCCATATCGATACAGTATAGTCTTAAAGTTCTAGCTAGAGCAGTAAGACAACTTAAGGAGGTCAAGGAGATATAAATTGGAAAGGAAGAAATCAAACTGTCATTATTTGCTGATGATATGATAGTATACATAAGTGACCCCAAAAATTCTACCAGGAAACTCCCACAGCTGATAAACACCTTCAGTGAAGTGGCTGGATACAAGATTAACTCAAAAAAATTAGTAGCCCTCCTATCTATAAACAGTCTGAGAAAAAAATCAGGGAAACAACACCCTTCACAGTAGCCACAAATAATATAAAATATCTTGGGGTAACTCTAATTAAGAAAGCGAAAGCATTGTATGACAATAACTTCAAGTCCTTGAAGAATGAAATTGAAGATATCAGAAGATGGAAAGATCTCCCATGTTTATGGATTGGCAGGATTAATATAGTAAAAAACGTCCATCCTACCAAAACCAATCCAAAGATTCAATGCAATCCCCATCAAAATTCCAACACAATTCTTTACAGACCTTGAAATAACAATACTCAACTTCATAAGGAGAAACAAAACACCAGGGTAGCCAAAACAGTCCTGTACAATAAAAGAACTTAGAGAGGTATAACCATCCCTGATTGCAAGCTCTGCTACAGAGGTATAGTCATTAAAAAAAAAGATTGATCAGTTGAATCAAATTAAAGACCCATATGTAAATACCCACACCAATGGATATCTGGGTTTTGATAAAGAAGTCAGAAATATACAATGGAAAGAGAAAGTATCTTCAACAAATGGTGCTGGTCTAACTGGGTGTCAGCATGTAAAAGAATACAAGTAGATCCATATCTGTCACCTTGCACAAAACCCAAGTCCAAGTGCATCAAAGATCTCAACATAAATTCAGATACACTGAACCTAATAGAAGGAAAATTGGGGAATAGCTTTGAATACATTGGCACAGGAGGCACCTTCTTGAACAGAACACTAAAAGCTCAGGCACTAAGATTAATAAATGGGACCTCATGAAACTGGAAAGCTTCTGTAAGGCAAAGAGCACCATCAATAGGACAAAGCAGCAGCCTACAGAGTGTTAAAACAATTTCACCTACCCCATATCTGACAGAGGGCAAATAGTCAAAATATGTAAAGAACTCAAAAAAGTAGGCATCAATAAACCAAATAATCCAATTAAAAATGGGGTACAGATCTAAACAAAGAATTCACAACAGAGGAAACTCAAATGACTGAAAAATATTTAAAGAAATGTCTAACACCAAGGAAATGCAAATCACAACTACTTTGAGATTCCCTCTTCCACTTGTCAGAATGGCTAAGATAAGGATATGGAGCAAGGGGAACACTCCTCCATTGCTGGTGGATGTTCAAACTCTGAAGGCCACTATGGAAATCAATATGGCAGTTCCTCAGAAAATTGGGAGTCAGTCTACAAGACCCAGCAATACCACTCCTAGGCAAAGCTATACCACTCCAAAGGACACTCCACCCTACACCAAGGACAGTTGCTCATCTTTGTTCATAACAGTTCTATTCATAATAGCCAGAAACAGGAAACAACCTAGGTGTCTCCCTCAACCAAAGAATGGATAAAGAAAATGTGATACATTTTCACAGTGGAGTATTACTCAACTGTATTTTTAAAAAATGACATCATGAAATTTGCAGACAAATTGATGTAACTAGAAAAAAATCATCCTGAGTGAGATAACCCAGACCCAGAAAGACAAACATGGCATTAGCTAGTAAGTAAAAGATAATCAAGCTACAACCCACAGACTCAGAAAGGTTAAGTAATAAGGAGGGCCCAAGCTGGGGGGCAGGGAAGCATGGATCTCCCTGGGAAGGAGAAATAGATTTTGTAGGTGGGCTTGGGGAGGGTGGGGAACAGAAACGGGAGGGATCAGGTGGCAGGGCTGGAGGAAGAGAGTACTGGGAGAGATCATTAGAACTGGGCACTTTGGGGCCAATGTGGAAACCCAGTGCAATGGAAGGTGACCCTAGCAAATTGGGATGTGGAGCCTGAACCGGCCATCTTCTGTAACCAGGTAAGGCTTCCAGTGGTGGGACTCGGACATCAACCCAGCTACAAAACCTTTGACCTACAATTTGTCCTGCTGGCAAGATATGCTGGGGGTAGTTATGGAGCAGAGCTTGTGGGAGTAGCCCACCAATGACTGGTCCAACTTAAAGCCCATGCCACAAAAGGGAGCCCACCTTGATATTACTACCTGGAGGACCAGGAACAAGAGGCTAGATAGACCAGAGATGTATGATAGAACCATAATGGGGAAAAATTAATGAGATGATTCCAAATGATACTCTTCTATACTCGTAGACCAGAGCCTAGCCCAATTGTTGTCAGAAAGGCTTCATCCAGTAACTTATCAGAACAGATACGGAGACCCACAACCAAATGTTAAGTGGCGCTCAGGAAACCCTATGGAAGAGGGGAAAGGAAGAATTGTAGGAGCCAGAGGGGTCAAGGACACCATAAGAACATGACCCCCAGCATAAACTAAGCAGGGCTCATAGGGGTTCACAGAGACTAAAGCAACAGTCACAGAGGTTGCATGGGTCTAAGCTAGGTCCTCTGTATATATGTTATAGTTGTGTAGCCTGGTGTTCTCTTGGGACTCCTAACAGTGGGAGTGGGCATTGTCTCTAACTCTTTTGCCTGCTCTTGGAACCCTTTCCCCTCCTACTGAGTTACCTCCTCCAACCTTGATATGAGGGGAGGTGCCTAGTCTTATTGTAACTTGTTATGCCATATCTGGTTGATATCCCTGGGAGGCCTGCTTTTTTTTCTGAAGGTAAAGGGAGGAGGAGTGGATCTGGGGGAGAGGGGAGGTGGGAGGAGGGACTGGAATGAGTAGAGGGAGGGGAAACCGGTTAGGAGGCAGTATATGAGAGGAGGGAGGGAGGGAGAGAGGGAGGAAAAAAGGAAGGAAGGAAGGAAAGAAGGAGAGAAAAAAGAAAACAGAAATTAAACTAAAAAGATAGTCAGGGGGGTGTCTCAGAAGTGTGAAGTCTGTGTACAGGCATAAGCATACTGCAGGGTCCACAGCCTGCAGGTACCAGATCCCCACCGAAGCCCCCAAGGGGGCCTGCAGCACTCCTGACTATAGAATGCTTTAATGTGTTTACTAAGTGTCTGCTCCCCTCTTCCTTGGTAGCTCTCTCATCATTCTGGCCAATAAAATAGGAATGGGAATAGTTTGATTTTTTTGTTGTTTTAACAACCGAATACCATAGTCAATTCTCTGTATATTTGTGCATGCATGGGTACATGCATGTGTGCGTGGCGGGTGCCATGGCACAGGTGTTGAGGTCAATGGACAACTTACTGGAGTCAGTTCTCACCTTCCACCACACGGGGTCCAGGGAAAAGAATTCAGATCATCCGGTTTGGCACCAGGTTTTTGTTTTTTTGTTTTTTCTCCCTGAAACATCTTGCTGGCATCATACTGTTTTCCCTGTAACCACCTTAGTAAATCTGGAGATATACCTTAGCGTTGCTAGTGATGTGCATCACACACATTTCATTGTCTCTGCCAGTTGCCCTGCTCTCTCTCTCCCCCAGTATCCCAGCAACTGTCTCTGCTCACTAAGAGACTCTCCGAATCTCTGCAGCTAGTCTGCCTCTGGTAGCTACGACTCCTTATGGCTGCTCAGGGACTAACTGCTCTCACCAATCCTGCTTCGTTCAGGTCACAGCCCAGGAAAGAGGCAGAGCCCTTGAGTGACTCTCCTCCCACTTCTCCCCAACTGCTCTCCTGCCCTTCTCTCATCATCTCAGAGGTAACTTGTTTTCCCGGGGAAGAAGAAAAGAGTTGGATCTGTCTTGCCTTAAGATTCACACTTCCGACTAGATCATTTCTTTTCCTAGTTTCCTGGCCAGGCTTCAGTGCATGGCTCTTACCGCCTTTAAGATGTGACTTGAAACTCACCTCCTGCAAGCAACATTTCAGGATTGGTTGCACATGAATTGGTGCATTCGATGCTGTGGCCCCCTGGAAGTCAGCTATTCAAGAGACTGTGTAAATGTCCCCTTGTCGCTGAGTTCTTTTGTCGCTGCGTTCTTTGGGCTTCTAGGAGGCCTTTTCAGACAGATTTTACACGTGGGATTAGAAGAAAGCACTAGAGCGCTGACATACTGAGCAATATTAAAATAGTTACCCTAGGAACAATAACAAGGTCACTGCCTTGGAACCTTCAGGGGCCAAAATTTCTGTTTCTTCAGGAGTTTGACAAATACATGGATCTCTATATCACAGGCTCCAACAAGCCCTGGGAACTAGCTTAGGGTGATGGATTTTTCTTTTCTGGTTGTATTTTTATTGTAGTCCTTCTTAATGACCGTGTGCATTTACGGGGTACAGCATGGTGTTTTAGAATGTGGGTCTAAGGTGTATTGGGCCCCATCAGATAGCTAGCTTCCTCGTCTCTTTTTACTTCTCATGTTTGGATCTTCTCAGGCCCTTTCCCCTAGTTCTTCATGAAGTATGAGACCGGCCTCAGTAGTTGAAGGGCCTACTGTACAAGCATGAGGACCAGAGTTTGGACATCTAGAACCCATGTAAATGTCGGCTAGGTGTGCAGTCCAAGCTGGCTAGTGAGTCTGGATCTGCTGAGAGACCTTCTTCCCTCGACGAATAAGATAGAAAGCAGCTAAGGATGTTTGGGAAGCCACGTGAGAACCTGCACTTTATAAGCTTCATATATATGGGAGTTTGATTGGAGTTAACACTGCAAAAGGGCATAGTGCTCCTCCTAGAAGCAACAGGCTGCCAAGTACAAAGTTCAATGCCAGGTGCGGGACATTCTCCCATTGAGTTGTTGCTCAGGATATCCTGGGGACCCTTAGAGCAATACTAACTATTGCCCCTGCTTTTGCTTGCCCACTGAAACTTGATGGTAAGAACCTTTTGCTGAAGATACCACAAACATTGGTCACAGGACATAGAAAAGTCAAGACCAGAAAGTTTCCTCTATGCTGGCCAGCTTTCATAGTATGGGAGGCTGCTAAGCAGGCTGCTGGGAGTGAGGCAGGGACAGTCACCTACTGTCTTAGCCACCTGTGAGCCTGTGAGCTGCAATAATGACCATGGGTGCAATAGTGGCCTGAATATCATGGGGTTAACCAACTGCCTTCTATTTGGATTTAAAGCTTGCTACACAGGAAGAAACACCTATAAATCTGGCCAAGAACCCATAGTTTGGGAGTGCATAGTCCCCAGGAATGAACCTACTGCTGTTATTCTGGTAAGTGAACATAGTAGCTAACTGCCCTCTAAATGTGTATCTCTTATACTTACAAATTAGTGCAACTCTCAGACCTCCTCAGAGAAGTTTCTTTGTGCAGTAGATGGTGGCTAATGCAGAAAGTCACAAATGAGGAGGCGGAGACTACACAGAGCATTTTGGTAGAGGATTGGACTTGCGGCTGCCTGGGCTGCACTGGGAGCCCAGCTGAGAAGCCCTTCCTCCCTATGCCCCACGGCTTCCTCCCCTTTCCAGGTCCGTTCTCTACTGCATGTCTCATCAGACTCATCCCCTTACCTCCCTCTGTCTCTTCACGCCGAGCAACTTCTCCCTTTGCCTGATCCCACCGTTATGCCATCCACAGTAAGATATATGTAAATAAGCAAGGTGCTTCATCCCATCCCGTTTTAAAGAAAACACTTAAAAATTACCACTTATGCTCTTCCACCCTGTGCACATGCTTCAAAAACATCATACTATGCACAATAAACACATACACTAAAAAGCATGTGCACATTCACCAAGGAGAACCAAAGTCCGTGAAGCAGGCCATTTGGAGTCAGACTGTTAAACTGGGGAAACGACACCCTGCCGTCCAGTTTTCCTACTAGCTGCGTGCTTCACATTGCCTTGGCATGTGACTCCCTAGTTTGCGATGACATCCATGCTGTTTCCTGCATCCTTCCATGTGCCGTCAACTGAATCTCTCCTGAAAGGGTTAAAAGGAAGGAGGATTGCTGAATGAATCAGTGAATGAACCGGTGAATGGAGAAAGGAAGGAAGGAAAGAAGGAAAGACCGAACAGGATAATGCTAAGGAGGGCGTACAGTCAACTCTGCCCAGGTTGTTCTGTAGTTTTCAGCCTTCTCTGACTGCTGAGAGTAGACTGGGTACTGAAAAGCTCCCAAGCCTCTCCCTTGGCTTTGTTTCCTATAGGACTGAAATAGTTCCAGTATGCAGATATTTAAGTAGAAGCAAGGAAGGGGAGGAAAGGAGGGAAGGAGGGAAACAGGGAGGGAGGGAGGGAGGCAGGAAAGAAGAGAGGTAGGGAGGTGTGGTGGTGGTTTGAAAGGAAACAGCCCCCAAAGGGAGTGGCACTATTAGGGGGTGTGGCCTTGTAGGATGGAGTAGGTGTGGTCTTACTGGAGGAAGTGTGTCACTATGGGGATAGGCTTTGTGGTCTCATATATGCTCAAGCCACACGCAGTGAGACAGACCGCTTCCTGTTGCCTGCAAGTCAAGATGTAGGCCACTCAACAACTTCTCCAGCACCGTGTCGTACCATGTCTGCCTGTACACCATGTCGCTCCGTGATGATATTGGACTAAACCTCTGAAAATGTAAGCCACCCCAATTAGATGTTTTTTTTCTTTTATAAGAGTTGCTGTGGTCATGGTGTCTCTTCACATTAATAGAACCTTAAGATGGGGGGGGGAGGAAGGAAGAGGGGAAGGGAAGGAAGGAAGGAAGTGGGAGGAAGGGAAGGAGTCATAAGAGGTAGAAAGAAGTTGGAGAAATAGGATGAGGCTAGACTCAACTGGTTTGGAAACTGCTCAGAAATATTTATTTCTGGGTCAAATGACAGTTCTGTATTGAGCAGTAGATGTGAGTCCCAGAAGCTAATTCGGTTGTAGTATTGATGGACATGTAGTGAGAGTTGGAAAAGCACTGGAAGTCCCTGAGCCTAATAAGACATCTCATCCCTGACACCCTCAACTTCAGCTCTCACAAAGAACAGAAACTGTCTTCACCTCCTCACTTCTTGTCTGGCTTTGGGAACTGGATTGAGAGTCCCTCCCAGGATCGGTTCCTTCCTGAGTAGCCATGATAATTGTGTTCTTTGATGGCGGGATATTTGGAATTACTTCTCTTCCATGGATATTCTTTTCCTGACCTTTTAGAACCTTCTCTTCTCTCCTTTAATTGCCAGTATCCTTCCCTTGGCAGCTTATTCTGAGACCAATGTGTGGGCATTCTTGCTTCTACCAGGCAGAAGGTAAACTCTGCTAGATGCCCTGCATCTGGAAGACAATGTCAAAGTGAATGAGCCCTAGGCAATGTGGGGATTTACCTCCACTGAGATGCTGGAGCAATACCTGGCATGCTTACTACTAGCTCACCAGCCTAAGAGTCATCTCTCCTCTGTGTCTCCTCCCAGATTCCATCAGAAGCCAAGGCTTTCCTTGCTAGTACTGCCAAGATATTAGCCAGGGCTGTTTCATCTTCTAGGGAGAATGTCCAGGGCATCCCTGACCAAAGTGTCTGTGAAAAATCAAGGAATGTGACTTTGTTGGCTTTCTGTGCCCTTAAAAGTCATCAGACAGGCTTCTAACAGGGTCTGCCTTGGCCAGTACTGCAGACAAGCCCTTATTCTGGCTCTGAGTTCAGCCCACTCGGGCCAAGTTCTTGCATGCTGACCTACAAGGTTACTAGAAAGTTGAACTCCTTGAGACTCCCTTACTCATAGGTCAAACATGAAAGACTTGTATCTAGGCCATAGCAGGTGATTAATCATCTGGCTGTTTTTGTCATTGCTGCCTCCATTAACATTGGATCATGTTATAAACTAAGTTAAAGGAATAGTAATTAGTCTACACATGTAGCCCAACCAAATATTAATGATTAAAACAATAGTTTCACTTTTATAGAGTAGAGACTATAGATCACATGCTGGGCACTGTGGCAGGGGCCCAGTGAGTGCCAATGCTAATGAATGTTTTCAACAATGTTCTGGGGTAGGTTGCAAATTATCCCCTTCCTACATAAAAGAACTCAAGAGTTAGAGAGAATAACAGACAACCCAGAGCCTTGCAAGTACACTTTCATTCTTTTTTGTTAAATAGTGTGAGAGAGAGAGAGAGAGAGAGAGAGAGAGAGAGAGAGAGAGAGAGAGAGAGAGAGAGAGAGAGAGAGAGAGAGGTCAGAACATAACTTGTAGGGTTTGTAGGGGACACTCCTCTCCTTCTACCATGAAGGTCCTGGAGCTCAAACTTGACTTGTCATGCTTGGAGACAGGCACTTTAACTCGCTGAGCCGTATCATTGTTCATTGGCCCTTTGTTTTGTCTTGTTTTGGGAGATGTGGTCTCATGCGTACCCGAGACTGTCCTCAAACTCACTATGTAACCGAGAATGACTGTGGACTTGTGATCCTCCTGACTCTACCTCCCCATGGCTGGCATTTCAGGCATGTGCCAGCATGCCCAGAGAGCGAGCGTCAATGAGCTGGGGCTTCCTCCATGAGCCCAAACTCTGACTTCCTTACCCTAGATTCTGTTTTCCTGTGACACAACTGGTACGCGTATCCACACTCAGCACGCGGACTATGAACTGACACTCAGCAAGGAACAAACTGAGTTTGCTTAAGTCAGATTCATCATTTTGGGGAAAAAAAAGTCTTCAGTATTTCTCTAGCCCCTAAGCCAGAGATGTCCAGAGGCCTTCGCCAAGTAGCCACTGTGCCAGCAGAATTACGGCAGAATAAGGGGGGCCCCTTGCCCTACGACCCCACACATCATTGTGTCTTCTTGCCAGTGCCTAGCCTCAGGTGAGAATCTTAGATGTAAGGCTTATGACACTTGCCAGACCTGTTCTTCGATTCTTCCTTGAGTCTTTGTTTTTCACTGAGTCATTCGGGACACCACTAGGGCCAGGGCCAACTCTTTTTGTTCTTATAATTTATTTATCTTTACTCTTTGGTGGGTGTCACATACCTCCACCCATGTGTGCCTATATGGAGGTCAGAGGAGGTTGTGGGATGTCTTCCTCTATCGCCCTCCACCATATTCTTTTAAAAGTGTCCTCACGGAGCAAGAAGCTTGCCGTTACGGGCAGACCGGCTTGTCAGAGAGCTCTGGGATCGATCCATCTGCCCCTACCTTCAATGCCGAGATCACAGTTACACAACCCTGCTTGGTCTTTTTCCTGGGTCCTGCAGATTCTTCCCACTCAGATCTTCATGCTTGCAGAGCCAGCTATCTTACCCACCGAGCCGTCTCTCAACCACAACAACACCTTTACTGAAGTAAGATTAACAGAGAGAAACCGTATCCCAAGGATGGATGTTTCCTCCAGGGCTCAAAACAACACATTTATTTTCTTATAGTTCTGGGTACCCTGGGAAGAAGCTAGCAGAATCCGTATCTCCCCCATAAGCTTGTGGTCACATTTCTTTTGTGTCATGGTGACAAACTCAACAGAACTTAAGGGAGGTAGATTTATGCAGCTCATTGTCCCAGAGAGTTTCACTTTTCCCTACCGTGTCCAGGTCTTTTTATGTACCAAGAGGGTCAGGCCACAGGCAAGCTTTCTGGCTGACATAACAGGCAGGCAAGTAAACACGCTGAATTTCTGAGTCGCCTTTTGAGTTGCCAAAGACTTGCACCTTTGAGGTTGACTATTGGCTCAGTGTAACTATGGTTCTCAGACCTTGCCCCACTTGTCCTTGCTGCTGGGCTCCCCTCAGCATCAGAAAATGCAAATAGAAGCAGAAATTAGCTTCTGACGCCCAACTGCTCTGTCCAAGGCTTCATCCAGATCTTTACACTGTAACCTCTAAATGTCAGGAAGACTCCCCACTTATTGTCCAGGCTATGGCTTGAACCTGGCACATGTCCTACAGACTAAGCACTCAGTTCCTGGCTTGTGATGCTCTTTTGAAGGCTATAGCACCAGGTTGGGGCTAGTAGTCAGCAGGGAGATTATATCTGCCTGATCCTGGCACTTGAGTTCTTGGCTGCCTGGCACACACCTGTGAACAGCTTCTGTCACACACTCTGTCTCTGTGAACTAGGGGCCCCTGTGTCTGGCAGATTTGTTCTTGAACCTACTTTGGTAACTTTCTTTTCCAAATGAACAGAACCTCTACAGACAGTGAGAAGTGTGGCTCTCAAGACACCAGGGATGGAACTGTGACATACTTGCTTTCTGTCACCTGGCTCAGAATATTGAAACTGGTTCACTCTGCCTGCAGCACATAATTACAGTGGGGGGGGGGGTTAAGTGTGCCTAAAAAGTTTCTAAGAACTTAGATGCCTCTTGGAACTTTCTGGATGTGATTTCCTGGGAATGTCTTCTTTATCTGTAAGCTTAACCTCCCTGTGATCCAAGGCTAGCTTCAAGCCCTACATAGATAAATAGCTTTGCTCTCCTGCCCTGTGAACTGCTTGGCTGCATCTAGGAGTCTGGTGCTATCTGCTCTGGGTGTTGGTAGGCTCTGCTTGGTGTTGACCACACAGCCCTGCCCGGGGCCAGCTCTGTTCTTGCTGGGAGGTTGTGCCTGTTGGAAGCAGGCCGCCGGACCACACAAGGACTGTTAATAAACTGTTTTCCTCCATGCTGGTGTCCAGGCCACTACACCCACTGTGGTCTAACCCCCACCTTAATGGCCGGATCTCAGCAGCTAATACCCCTAATCAGATACCTCCGAGCAGGCAGGAGTTTCCCTCCAGGTCTGACAAGCCCTGCTTTTCATCCTGTCACCTTGTGTTCTCCCTCTTACCCTTCCTGACCTTTCCGTGTATCTGTTCTGAAAAAAAAAAAAGTTGGGCCCTCCAAGTAGTTTTTAGTATTGCTTTTATTTTAGCATTCAGTATTTGGGGGCAAGACTGCATTCTAAGCAGCAACTCGCACCCCTAAGTTTCAGTGGTCACTTGGATGGAAATGTCCAGCTGCCTTCTCTCTCTCTCAGGTAGGGCCATGATGTCAAAGGTCTACTGGCCATCAGCAAAGGAAGCCTGCCACCATTTTCCTTTCCAGAGGGTGTTTGTTTATGTATAGTTTTGCCACTTGCACACCCTAACAAACCTCTTCAGAAACATAGTCTGAGGCCAAGACATCCCCGCCCCCCCTGACCCCGGTCAGCAAGGAAGAGGGAGAGACCTGTGTCCTCTTGGGAGCAAAAAGCCCAGCTTGAGAGAGTGATGAGGCGCTGCCTTCCCTTCCTTCCTCCCCGCATGCCTCCCTCAGCCATTGCAAGGACGCTGACAGCCATAAAAAATCAGGCCTGTTAGCAACAGGGAAGATCACAGGCCTTCATTCCCGTCAGGCTCCTGCAGTAACAGCTACCATCTGGCTCCCCATCGCAGCCGAAGGCAGGGCCTGATTTATGGGGCAGCTTAGGTCAGGGAGTGGGTCTCGTTCATTGCCCTTTCCCCCACAAACACCCCAGTGGGCCAGGCCTGAGAGAGGGCCACTGCAGGTCATCAATAAATCCTGGGCATAAAACAATACGGAGGTTTATTAAGGGAGCTGAGATGGGGGGACTAGTGCGAGTTATTCTTGTTACAGGCCCAGCTATCTTCCCCACACAGTTCAAAGTCTATGCACCCTAATGCGTTTCAGCAGCCAATAAAAGTAACTGCTGCATTCCCCCCCCCTCAAATCCATAGTGCTTACAAATGATAGGGTAAGAGGCACAAGAGATACATTGCAACTTTGAAGCAGTGATTTACCTCAGAATAGCCGATCAGCAAAGGAAGTCAACCACAGTAGATGACGACCCCTTTATCTAACCCCAGGGTCCCCTTGTGAAGACGGAAACTTTAAAAATAAGCTAAAATCAAAATTTGGAGTCAGCCATTGGGTATAAAAGTGACACTTCTGAATGCTTCTATGGCTGGAAGTGGCTTTGTAGAGAAGGCCAGACAGGATGGTCATGGCTATAAACACAGGGGTACAGTTGAGCCTGCAGGCTGGAGTGCTCTCCATGATGAACCAAATGCCTTCATCTCCATCTTTTTTCCCTAGAGGGAGCATTCAACCAAAACCCTCATTTTCCGGCCATTAAACCCTTAGGCTGTTATTGTGCTAGAATGGTATTGGCTGGATATTAAATTAAATTGTATTTACATGAGCTAATGGGATGAGGAGGAGCCTGGCCAGGATTTAGGAAAACTGCTATACTGTGTCATAGACGCTAGCTGTATCCATGAGACCCTGGAGTTCTCAGAAGTAGCACTATGCACTCCTAACAACAGTGTTGCTAAAAGATGGCTCAGTCTGAGTACCTAGGAAAACTCCTCCTATACATTGTTATCCTTACCCAAGATGCTGGGAAAGCCCTTGAGAATTTGTTGCTTGTAGCCAGATGGGGTGGCACACACCATAGGCTTGGGAAGTGGAGGCAGGAGAATTGCATGTTCGAGGCCAGCTGGGGTCACATAAATAGGCTGTCTCAAAAAAAAAAAAAAAAAAACAAAGCCGGGCGGTGGAGGCGCACGCCTTTAATCCCAGCACTCGGGAGGCAGAGGCAGGCGGATCTCTGTGAGTTCGAGGTTGGGCTGGACTGATAGCCTCCAAAGCAATACAGAGAAACCCTGTCTCATAAAACAAAACAACAACAACAACAACAAAACAATTAGCAAGATGTCTCTTCATATGTAATATCCTGGTTTCATTTCTGTATCTTCAATAAAACACTTCTGACAAAAAAAAAGCAACAGGGGAAAGGAGATTCATTTCAGCTTTCAGTTCTTGGTTACACTTCATCATTGTGGGGAAGTTAAAGCAAGAACTTCAAACAGCCAGTCACACCACATCCACAGTCAAGAGCAGAGCAGAGCAGAGATGTGTACATGCTTGTTTCCCCGATTGCACTCAAACTGACTTCTCGTATAGTGTTCAAGACCCATGCCTAAGGAATGGTGCCTCTCACAGTAAGCTGGGTTTCCCACATCAATTAACTTAATTAAAACAATTACCCAGACATGCCCAGAGGTCAACCCAATGTAAGTCCCAAGTGCATTCCTCTTTGAAAGGTAATGTGACAGAAAGGAAATGGCAAACTTGGATTGGAATTGACAAATGTCAGCCACTAATAAACATGTTATCAAAGATTCACAGGATACTGTGTGGGGGGTATTTGGGGGTGGGGGGAGGTCATGCATGAGTACAGCTACAATCTGGTATCTTCCGTCAGTCTCTCTCCCCCTTATTTTTTGAAACAGAGTTTCTCATTGAACCTACAGCTCATCCATTGAGTTAGGCTACTCAGCAGTGCCCACCAAGGATTCACTCACATCCCCTTCCAACACTGGGATCATATCACAAGTTCTTTACCACAGTCAGCTTTTGTGTGGGTGCTAAGAACACCATCTCAGGTTCTTGTGTTTGCATAGCCCTTGCTGGTTTTTTTTTCCCATTCATCTTTGCCTCTCCTGGTAGCTTCCAAACCTTGTGTCCTCATCCACCAATACTAACCTGTCTTGCAGATTGGGTTGGGAATTTTCCATTAATCTACTTCCAGTTGCTTCCTCACTTATGCCAAAGCCTCATAAGAACACAGTTCTGGCCTTGGTGTTCAATGCCTCTGATCTCTTGGCTTTGCTGCTCTAAGTGTGCATACCCTATCTGCCCTGGAAATAGTTCTTTTTGTTGTTGTTGTTGTTGCTGCTGCTGCTTGTTTTTTTTTTTTTGTTTTGTTTTGTTTTTGGTGCTAGAGACTGAACTCAGGGCTTAAGTACTCTACCACTTAGTTACAACCTCTGTCCCTTCTATCTTTTGTGTTTTGAGACAGGGTCTTGCTAAGCTATTCAGACTGACTTCATGATCCTCCTGCTTCAATTTTCAAAATAGTTGGAGATGCAAGCCTGTACCACCAAGCCCAACTCAGAATTAAAGCTACCATTCCTTTTTGCTTCTAGGTTTCTAAGGCTCTTTGTCCATGGTATTTGACCTCATGTAGGAAAGGATCTACTCCTAATTTTAGATATCCAGAGCACCGTTCCCCATGACCCATCAAAATATTGAGGACATAATCCATTTCCCCTTTCCAAGCAGTATATTCCAAACTAAAGTTGGAGCTGGAAAAAAAGTACAAGATTTTTTTCAATTTGTCTGAGGCTTGGAGATAGAAGTTGTTGCCTTCCATACCCATCAGAGAGGAAGGAGCTATGTGTAGCCATCTCCAAGCCTTTGGACTGAAGCACCCCACTATACAGCTCTAGGTTGGGTACTGTAGAAGCTTGAAAAGACACCATCTGTCCAAGCATAAAATGTTTGTTGAATGAATAAACAAATGTAACATCTTCCCATAACACATCCACAAAATGTGGACATAGAGTAGGGGGTAGGCACAGATGCAGCCCCAGGAGTGGATAGGACAGACCCTCAGAACCACTGTCCTGATGCAGGTCTTGCCTCTTGAATAGGCCCATGAGGAAATAGCAAACATTTGTGACCTCAAACAATAGAGGTTGTTTTGTCTTGAACAGATGTGCCCAACCACATTTTAAAACATTCTCTCTGTCACACACCCCAGGCAATGTCTGTTTCTGAGCTCTGCAATGTGCATGTCTTTTCATTATGCATAGACTGCCTTAGCCTCAGCTTCACTCTCTTTGGCTTCAGTTGCCCTTGGTCAACTGTCCTCTTAAAATATTTAATGGAAAATTCTAGAAACAAGTCTCAGTAGTAAGATGAAAACTCAAGCTGCCCCATCTCACCTTACCTGGCAATGTTAATCATCCATTTGTACAGCATATCAATACTGTGTATGCTACCTGGACATCAGTCACTTAGTAACCATGGCAACTAATAGATGAATTATCAGGTCATAGTTCACATACTCAGGGAACCCTTTTTCACTTAATAATGGTAATGCTAGTAAATTGGTTGGAGTATGTTTTCCTCCTCCTTTTTCATTTTGAGACAGGGTCTTTTATAGACCAGGCCGCCCTCAACCTCACAAGACAGCCAAGCATGGCTTTGAACTTTGATCCTCCTTCCTGTGCCTCTCAAGTGCTGGGGTTACAGGCTTGTAACACCACACCTGTTTATTAGTGCTAGGGATGGAACCCAGGGCCTTGTGCATGCTAAGTAGGCCCTCTGCCAAACTGAGCTACCTCCCAGTGCCATGGTATATATTGTTATAATTATCGATTTTAATGCTATTGTTACATTCATACTGCAAATTAAATGTTATCATCGGTGTGGGGGTATAAGAAAAAACATAGTTGTCTATGGGATTTGGCGTCTCAGGCATCTGATGAGGATCTTGAAACACATTCCTCTCCAGTAAGAGATACTGTACACCAGTTTGTTTGTTTGTTTTTTATGCCATTGCCAAACCGAATATCATTTCTTTCCTATGGTGAGAAAAAGCCCCCGGTTTTGTGTTGAGCTGAGCAGGGTCAAGACAACCTCTGGCTGGTGCGGCTCTGGGGCTTCTCCAGCTTGGTTTCCCTCTGCCTCCCCGCTTCCTTCCCTTCTGGTCCAGACACCAGGGCCCGTCGCCAAGGGCACACACTACTTTCTTCTTTCTCCCCTCCAGTCCCTTCTCATGCTTTCCCTGGAATCTTGGAACCAGATAAGGGAAGTCTCTGGCAAGCAGCCCTACCCAGGTGCTGTTCACACGGACGAGGAGTCTGCTTGACACAGCTGTTGGCAGGCGGCTGCTCCTGGCCAGCCCCAACTTTGATTTATTGTCCTTCAAGTAAATACCAGTAAATAAATGACAGAAGTGCTCTTCCTCCCCCAGCCTTGTGATAATTAACTTGTTCCTTTTTTACTTCCCTCTTACTAACTGCAAAAGTAATGACGTTCTCTGATAGATGAGTTGCCCATGACTGCCTTGCTGACAGGCGTGTTTGCGTAAAAGATGGACTGTCCCATGAAAACTGGAAGGCTCATGTTGAAAACTGGGAGCTCGTGGGTCGATTTACCTTCTGCAAAATAACTTTAAAGGTTGAGCACACAATGGAAAAAAAACAACCAGAGGTTTTACATGGGAATTTATATCTTGGCATCCTGGTAGAAGATTATCTGGAAGTGGCAGGTTTGTAGCATACCTGGAAAGAACTATCTAGATCATCAATTCTCTACCCGTGGAACAACCCTTTTACAAGGGTCACCTAAGACCATTGTGAAACACAGATATTTACACTATGATTCATAACAGTAGCAAAATTACAGTTATTAAGTAGCAATGGAAATAATTTTATGGCTGGGGAGTCACCACAATATGAAGAACTGTATTAAGGGGTCATAGAATTAGGAAGGTTGAAAACTACTGGTCTGGTATACATGGCCACCCCTGTATGCCTGGTCCTCACTTCTTCTGGACCAAGGCTGAATGTCATATTCTCTGTGTCATTGAGCTTGTTCTGCTGGTTTTCTATAGCAGGCAGGTTGTTCTGTGTGTGTTGTGAATTGAAGACAGCTGTACAATCCTTTGCCATGTCTCTCACTGAGAAGTCAAGTCAGTCACCCCCAACACTGCAGTTTCAATGTCCCTTAAAGTAAGATGGTGCTGATAAATAGATTACAAAATGAGGACATAACAAGTCCACAATGCATCAGAAGCCTGGCATGTGACACATACCTCTCAGTATGTCTGAGGCTGAGTCAGGAGGATCATGACAAGTTTGAGACCAGCATAACCCACATGGTGACTTCCAAGCCAACTGGGGCTGCATATCATGACCCTGTGTTAAGTCCTGCCCACCCCCAAAAGATGTGTTTAACACTCCCCCAACAATGTAGCTTAGCTACCTCAAATATGCATTCAGTTGGGCCTGCAGCTAGGCACCATAAGAGTATCACATCTCATATTGCTATCCTGGGAAAGAATTAAAATTCAACACTTGACATACATTTCTATAGTCTTTGTATCACTTTTGTGTAATTATAAAGTTGAAAAATCAGAAGCTGAGCATTCTAAGGCTGCCTCTGTTGGGCCATTCAACTCAGTTGGGTATCTTGGATCAGCCCCAGCTCCTACCTTATGTGAACTATGAACTACTTCAAGGGTTTAATTTGATTTTGCATCCTGGAATTCATAATGCATTTGTTTGCAAATTAACAACATCATCATGAATGGTATTAGAGTCTTGGGCCCTCTCAGGAAGCCCTCATGGCTGTGATAGCTATTGAAGAAAGTTGGGCTTGAATTACATCAATGGCCATGTTTTGTGGGACTGGAGAGATGACTCTGTGAATGAGAGAACTTGCCACATAAGCAGGAGGACCTGAGCTTGGATCCCACATAAGAAGCTTGGGTTGTCTAGGTATGTACCTGTAACCCCAGTGCTGGGGGATGGAGGCAGGAAGATCACTGGGGCTTTGGGCCTGCCAAACTAGATCCACGTTCATTGAAGGAACCTGACTCAAGGGAATGAGGTGGACACCTGACATCTTATATCAACTCTGCAAATGCACAGCTGTGCATATGCCACACCCAAATATGACACTCACAAACAGACACATACAAACAAACTCATTCAAAAATGCTACTATCTGATTAGAAGATCCTACATCTCCAGCAGTGACAAGGTTATCTAGAGGTTCCCTGGGAAGGCCTGAATCAGGTTCCACGGTGTGGAGAGCCATAGAAGTGGCTCCGTTCCATCTTGACATAAGGTCAGAGAGTCCTTCGAGGTTAAACCACAATATGTTTGGCCTAAGGTGTATGCCTTGTCTAGACAATAAGATATTTGGCCTAAGGTGTAGCTAATGGATGTCTTATCTAAACAACAGGATATTTGGTTTAGGGTGTGGTTATCTGACGTTTTGGGGTATTGAGAAGGTAATTATGCTTGCTCGTTCTTTATATCTTGGTAAGGAAGTCTTTTGCCTTACCACCCCTTGACTGAGGTGTATAAGAACTTTGAGTGATAAACTTGGGGCTGATCACAGTATTCACTATATGCCCTCCCGACTCTATCTTCTGTTTCTTGTCTATTTCTTTCCTCAATCCTCATTCCTCCCTTCGAGCACTGACCAGATAAATCAGCTGGGTCAGACACCATGGTAGTCATCTGTTTCTGATGAGAGGTCCACGTGCAACCTTTCTTGTTGAAGTTCTAGAAGTCTGTGCTCCTAAGCCAGGAGCTACTCAGCCCTAACTGTCCTCTCCATCAGGGCCACATAAAGCTCTAGTGTATGCTTTCATTGTCTATAGGCTCAAGAAAGAAAGAAAAAGAGAGAGAAAGGAAAGGAAGGGAGGGAGGGAGGGAGGGAGAGAGGAAGAGAGGGAGGAAAGAAAGAAGCAAGGAAGAAAGAAAAAGAAAGAAGAAAGAAAAAGGAAGAGAGAGAAAGGGAGGAAGGAAGGAAGGGAAGGGAGGGAGGGAGGGAGGGAGGGAGGGAGGGAGGGGGCACCTGTGCTCAAGAGTCTATGAAGACTGGACTTTTGGGATTGTGGGGAGTGAAAGTGTTGCTGGCTGGAGCCAAATTCCTTTGGGTTAGTTTTCATCCCTTCAAAAGCCATCCACCATCCATCCGTGTCTGACCTAACATCTCAGTGACCTTACGATGTATTCTTAGTAGGCCTATAACTATCATCCATCCAAAAGCAATTGGACAGCATCCGAACCCTATAGCAAAGTTTTTCCTGTTTTGCTGTAACCTGCCTACCTATGCCCGTGCTCCAGTGTAGGAGGCAAACAATTTAACTTACAACTCTCTGTGTTCTGTAACTAATAAAATATCGTATAATCATGTCAAGGATGGATCATGGTACTTGGGGAAACCTAAATCTATGTTCTCGGGCTGCAGTCACTCATATTGGACTCCAAAACTAACTATCTTATTCCTCTAGATTCCATCTACATCAGCAGACCCTACTTTCCAGAAATCTATAATTTGTCTGACTGGTAAATCCTGAGAAGGTGGACAGGAGTAATCATGTTCATTAGAAGTTATATAGCCACACCAAAAATGTGTAGGAAACTCCTAGAGGCTCACTCAAACTGACAGGGCTTCACAGAACTTCAGGGAAAAGGTTCTCTGAGAACAGAAGCCAGGGAGCCCCAATGGTGGAGAATGACTCTGAAGCCTTGCAGGCCAGGTGAGTTTCACATATAGTGAATCAACTCTGCTTCCCACGAACCACAAAAACAGCCAGCGTGGCAAAATAACTCTGAGAATACAATAGTGGCATGAATACCTTGACGGTAGCCAACAGCTCTGTAATCCGGCTGAAGACCTGCTCAACAAGAAATATCCATGCCTTGTACTGGAAACTTAGCCAGCTACCCAGAGATAGTGAAGTCATGGATCTTGGAGAAGAGCCTACAGTCACCACGTTTTTTTAAAACAGCATGATCCCTAGCTACATTCTAAACATTTGTCCTTACACCCACAGATAAGTGTAGTCCTTACCCCTCACCAAGGTAAGTTCTCTTTGCAATAGATGGAGAGACCAGTACAGAAAAGCCCAACATGTAGTCAACATGTAGTTATGGTGCACAGTCCCAGATGATGCATCTGCAATACAACTCCTGCATTAAGACTCAAGGATAAGGGCAGGAGACGGGGAGGAAGGATTGAAGGAGCCAGAGGAGATTTCTAGGAGATTGTCTCCTAGAAATGTCAGAAGCCACACCTATAACATGAACACACCCACACCCACACACCAACACACACATACACACACACCCTGCTCAGTATGTGCAGTGTTACTTATGTTAAACATGAGCTAAACGAAGCTGGAAAAGCACACCAACTGGTTATTCAGTGCCAAATGTTCTGCCCTGAAAAACATACACACAAGTAACACTGCACATACTGAGCAGGGTGTGTGTGTGTGTGTGTGTGTGTGTGTGTGTGTGTGTGTGTGTTGGTATGGGTGTGAGTGTGTGTAACTATAACAACAATTAAAGAAAAAACCTGTACATTTGAAAGAGCAAGGAGAGAAGGCATATGGGAGGAGTTGGGGGGAGGAAACACGGGGATGCATGATCCAATTGCAGTATAATCTTTAAAAGGTCAAGGGACTAAAATGAGAACATTGTATGTGTGATGGGGGTCAGGGTCAGAAGCAGCCACTAAAGGGAAAGGGCTGAAGGTACATGTGGCAAGCTTTGTGACAGGCTCTGTCCTCAGATACTCCCCAAGCTTTGAAGAGAAGAGAACAGAGTGGGGAAGTTTGCTCAGAGCACACAAAGTGTTCGAGGAGAATCGGCCAGTGGCATCTCCAGACCAGAACCCCAGGGCCTGTATTCTGTGGGCTTCCTAGGTGCCAGGATGAGACAGGCTGACACTCTAATGGCCAATGGACTCTTCTTAGAACCACACCATGCACACTCTGGTACAGGGATTGGTTTCTGGACTTTTAAAGGCGGTTGGGAGTGGTCCCTAGAGGAAGGAGACTTTAGGAGGCACTGCAGGAAATGTCTCCAGTCCAAGGGTTCTGAGGTTTGCAGACTGTTCAGTGTAATGGCCTGGCATTTGTTTCTCTGGACAGCTTTTTGTATATTTGACTCAGAAGCACACACAAAAAAAGGCCTATTGTAGAAAATCAAGCCCCATTATCACATAAATGTGCATTATATAAAAACAAATGAAAAGGGTTGGGAGAAAAAAGAATAAGGAATCTCAAAAGTACTAATTATAAATTGTGGGAGAGACCAAGGGTGGTGGGAAAGGGTCCAAGACAGTGCCTGGCCCAGCCAGCTGCCCTGACCACTAGCAATTCCTCTCAGAGGTCTCTCCAGCTCCACACACAGGCAGGGCAGTTCTCCTCTCCTCTCTTACCACCA